GAGAGAGAGAGAGAGAGAGAGAGAGAGAGAGAGAGAGAGAGAGAGAGAGAGAGAGAGAGAGAGAGAAAGAAAGAGAGGGCGACCGGCCGAAGCAGCTCAAGAGACTTGCCGCGACCCAAACCCCCGCAAGAGGCAACTTTTCCGACCGTGCGAAGCCACGAAAGCTCCAACTACAAAAACCCTAAGCAGAAAGGGAGCGCAAAGTCCCAAAAGCTAAGAGTGTGGACCTCAGACGCTGGAGCTACAGGTGCTGCAGGCAGAAGAGCAAAAGCCGGCCCAGCGGGCCCCGCGGATCATGGTGAAGGCGAGGCGGCCCGGGACGAGAAGACCGTGAGAGGACGACGAGTCCTCGGGCGCCCATCCGCTGGAGCCCTGGATGGAGCGGGTCCAGAAGAGTCTTCTGAGAGGGCCATAGCGGCGATGGCAACCCCTACTGACCCGGATTGTAAGCGCCTGACAAGCTGCAGTCGGGACGCTGCAGGAAGCACTGCAGAAATGACTCTCAATTGCAAAGCAAGAGATTGAGGAAAAAGGGAACCAACCCAACCCGCGACGAGGGGGGGTTGGTTGGGAGAGGGGGGGGGGGTGGGGCGGGTGGGGGGGGGGAAGGGGGGGGGGGAGGGGGGAGGGGGAGGGGGGAGGGGGGGGGGGAGGGGGGGAAGCGAGGGAGGAAGCCGCGATCGCAAGCGGAGCGGCCAGCGAGAAACTGACGCACCCCCCCACAAGCAAAAAGAAAAAAAGGACGAAAAAGCAGCAACACAAAGCCCACACCGAGCAGCCCAACCTCAGTCCTAGGAGGAACGTGGCACACTGCGCACGCACTCCGCGGGACGTGGCAAGAATCGCACGCACCCCTCCCCTAGGGACGTGGACTACTGCGCACACACCCCGCGGGACGTGGCGCGCGGCACACGCACCACTGATATCGGTGTTCGGTGCCTCCGCGAAGGACGATGAACCAAAGCAGCAAATGAGGTAAATGCCCGGCAGAGCCTCCTGCCAGTTTGTGGGCAGGCAGTACTTGGCTGCGCGGATAAGACCGCTAGTCCACCAGAAGACAAAGCTCTCGGCCATGCCCTGAAGCAGTGTGGTTACGGTCCAGCCGTGGGAAGCAGGCTCCACACCGGAGAACTGGAGGTCGCAAGAGACAGCTGCGAGGGCTTCGGGAAGGGGCTCGCCCGAATCCAGAATGGAGCGGCCCAAAAGGAGTTGAAGAAGAATGTCGACCTGTTGCACCAGCGGCGAAGAGATGGAGGGAAGAGAGGCATGGCTGCAGCGGCAGGCAAGCGGCTAGAGCCCAGAAGCGGCGCAAGAGAAGGGGAACCAGCCCAGTGGACAAGAAAAAAAAAAAGGAGGAGGAGGCACTGTCGCTCTTGTGGTCACGGGGGAGGGAGCGGGAGCCGGGTGCTCGTCCGATGCAAGAGCCTCGTTAGTGCCGCCCCCCGGGGTCTTGACTCCAGGGAAAGCGCAGCCCCCCCCGCAGCAAAAACCACAAGACCCGAGGGGGGAATTTCGAATAAATTCCTCTCTCTCTCTCTCTCTCTCTCCTCTCTCTCTCTCTCTCTCTCTCTCTCTCTCTCTCTCTCTCTCTCTCTCTCTCTCTCTCTCTCTCTCTCTCTCTCTCTCTCTCTCTCTCCTGTCGGTTCAAGCCCGTTCTCCTTCGCCTTGCGGCGGCAATGGACCTCTTGGATGACTTGTGCCTCTCCGGGTCATCCTCATCAGATGAGGACCCTCAAACCGCTGCACCTTCCCAGAGAACCTCGGTGCAGGTCGGCCAGCACCTCTCCCTCCCACACTTCGCTGCTCAGTGTGTTGGAGATGACGTCTCCTGCCGGGGCTCTCACGTCACCCGTCTCGCCTGCATTCAATGTGGTAGTGGTGGTAGAGACCGCTTCCAGTGGGGGCTTTGGCAAGGTCAGGGCCTACTGAGGGCCTACTGAATCTCGGTGCAGACATTGGCATTATGTCGGAGACTGCCCTTTGTTCTGACGCGCAACATGTCCAAGCGTGCAAGGGGTTACGTTCTGCCGGCTTCCATGCCATCAGCCATGGGGCCCCTCACGCAGGTAGCGCCCTCTCGCACGTTGGAGTTGCGTTGGCAGTCAAGTCCTCTTACTCCGGTCAGTGGACAGACATCGCGAGGGATTCAGCCGGCCGCGCCCTTGCAGCCACTCTTTGCAGCTCCCAAGGGCTTCACATCCGCGTAGTCGGGCTCTCTGGACCCACGGGCGCCTGCCTCCCAGGCTTCACTTCCTCCCCAGGTCAAGGAAGAAACTGATTTAAAGCAGTTTATCGATGACCAACTTGCCTTCTCCCTGCACCGCCAGCAACAGCTTATTGTAGGAGGCGACCTCAACTCCTTCTGCAATAAAGACCTTGACAGCTGGTGTGGGTCCTACGCGTGTCGGCCGGCTTCAGTAGCAGCCCATCTGCAGAGTAGCGGCTTGTTTGATGCATTCCGCTCCCGCCATCCCCTCCTCCGCGCCTTTTCCTACTTCTCTGCAGCGGGCTCGGCGAGCCGTTTGGATGCTGTGTCTCTCCAAGCGTGCGCCTCTCCATTCTCAACTGTTCTCCCAACAAGCACTGCATGACCTAACCCTAGTTGGGGAGAGGAGTCCAACCCTAGCCCTATATCCCGAAAGGGAGTGGGTTAGGGTATCAACGACTCGCTCTCCTGTTTTCAGCGGTGCTGCTCTGGGCGAAAGAGTGAAATGCTTCGTGGGAAAGGCTGGGCAAGATCCCACGAGCATGTAAGGCCATCAAACCCCCTGTTGAGGTGAGATGAAGTCCCGAGGCGGGACTGAGGCTACTCCACTTTGGGAGGCAAATGGGCATTTCTGAAAGGCTACTCCACTTTGGGAGGCGGGATCCGGCCGGATCCAGGCTTTGGTTGGTATGCTTTGAGTGCGCAAGGGCAGTGGTGGGTGGGCGAAAAGCAGAAGGCCCCACCTAGGGGTTAGGTCAAGGCCAGCTGAGAGCCGGAGATGCTCCAGCTGTGCAAGGCTTGTTTAGGCGTATGGCAAATTACGGTGCATGATTCACTCGTGGGAAAACACACGGGAACCAAAAACCCGAAGCGTTCTCCCAACAAGCACTGCATGACCTAACCCTAGTTGGGGAGAGGAGTCCAACCCTAGCCCTATATCCCGAAAGGGAGTGGGTTAGGGTATCAACGACTCGCTCTCCTGTTTTCAGCGGTGCTGCTCTGGGCGAAAGAGTGAAATGCTTCGTGGGAAAGGCTGGGCAAGATCCCACGAGCATGTAAGGCCATCAAACCCCCACTTCAGGGGCCCAGGGCAGACCGGTGAATGCATTAGGCCTCTCTACCCCCACCGCGGGCGGTCTGGCTGGTGCCTGGGGCACTAGGCTGTATGTGCTGAGACCTGCACTAGGCCAGTGCTCCAATTGGCGTCCGAGGGCCATAGGCTGACCTCGTGTTCCGACCGAGCCAGGTCGTGCAGATGGACGTGGAATCTATGGGATTTGGTCGTGCTTGCGAACTTCTGTAGGCGGTTTCGGCTGAGGTCGTCCGCGTCCGTGTTTTTAACGCCCGGAATATGACCGACTTCTAGGCTCAGACCTTTGGCGTGAGCCCAGGAGGCTACCTTCTGCAGGAAAAGGGCTGTGGTAAACAGCTTATTGACTGAAGCTTGTGTGGGGCTGTTGTCGCTGAGGGTGGGCAGGCAAAAGCGGAGGCTGGAGCAACCGGTGGCCGCGTATGCCATCTGTATTTGAACCCACTGGGCGATTGTTTCGAAGCAGGCTATGTATTGCTGGGCATCCTTCGTGAGGAAAGGCCAGTGGGCGCGAAGCTCTGTTATGGACCACTGTTGTGCGAACCAGAAGGTCTGGCTTGATGTGCATAACCAACCCCCGATCCCAACTTGAGTGCCGTCCGCCATGGCGTCTGCGGCTGAGAGGCATGGCAGCAGGGGCGGCTGAGCCAGTGGCATGCGGAATTCGTGGGTGAAGCACTGGGCCAGCCAGTGCAGAGCGGCTTTGCTGTCATTGCGTAGAGTGATTTCCTGTGCGTTTGGGTCAGCGATGCGCACCCATACAGTCTTGTCGGCAGCTGGGATGGGCCAAATATCCGTTTTTGACGACACTGGCTTCCCTTTGACCTCTATCACCTTGGCTTTGATGGGCAGTTGTAGGTATGAGGCATCTTTCGTGACTCGGCACTGGGAGTCTAGGCACCAAAGGAATTGTGACCAGCTGCGGGGTGGGATAGGGTATTGGGTCCCAGGCGGGCTATGCAAGTCCGCATAAAGCGGAGCGGCGAAGCAGCGCAGGTGAGAGCTTACGCTGGTTGCCCACATCAGTAGGCCGAGGCAGGATTCGAGCTCTTTCCGGGGGACGCGCTTATGCTCCAGGAGGCTGAGTAGCTGGGCGCGCAGTTTATCTAGCTTGGGCTGTGCTAGGCATACGGATTCTGTGGCGAAGCAGAACTTCCAACCACACCATACGAGCTGGTCGCCGAAGGCCGCTTTCTTCCAGCTGATCGGGGCACCGATGATTGTGAGGAAAGCCACTGTGAGGGCTAGCTGCTCCGGGGCCTTATGTCTGAGGAGGCACAGCAGTAAGTCATCGACGTAGAGCCAGGCTTTGTGAGGCTCATGGGCTAGTACGTGGTGCAGCAAGCGCAGAAGCAGGGCTCCAACCCTCTGCCACCAGTAGGCTGAGAAGCGAGCGCCAAAATGGCACACCACATAGGCGAAAAGGCGATTGGCGTGTCGGAAGAGCAATAGTCCTTGGTCTGAGGGCTTGACCTTGACCCTTTTGTGGGCGGCTTTAAAGTCTAGGGCGGCTCCTTGGGAGGCGTGTTTAGGGTCTTTGGGCTTGAAGGAGGCCCTAACGTCTGCAGATGTGGGCAAGCAGACGCGTTCAGGCAATGTGCACAGTGGGTTTACGTTGCAAATTGAGCTGTCTAGGACCATTCTGGGGTCCTTGCCCTCGGCCTGCACAACGTTGAGCTTGCCGATGGCTATGCCCTTGGGCCACGTAGGCGTGCGGCGGCTTCGCCTCCGTGGACTTCGGCTACCCACCCCTGGGCTATCTCCTCGTCAATGAGCTGCTGGAGTAGGCCGGGTTGGGCTTCGGCGTTCTTCCAGTTGGAGTCACACTCCTTTAGGCACCTGTCCAGTGGATGCCCCCCATCCACGGAGGGCCACTGATGGCTGCTAGGAATGGGCTCGAAGATGCCCGTGGGCACTCCCTCCTGGAGGATTGAGGGAAGGTGTCGGTCTATGTCGGCCGTGAGCTGTGCAAGATGGGCAAGCAACGAGAGGCGGAAGGGCTGTCCCTCCTCTGTCTGGCATGCCACGGAGGGGTGCATGTGCAGGGCCAAGGCTACTTCTTCCATGAGGGCCTCTTGCTCCGTCTCTGAGACGGGGTGTTCGGGTTTCCCCTGTGCGAGGTGTGCAGTGATGCGCTTGTATCTGTCCCCATCCAGACACCACTTCTGGAGCACCGACGACAGAGGCTTCAGCGGGCTGGCTTTGTGACTGGGCATTGAGCAGTCTGCGCAACTGCGTAGGCCAGCTCCGTTGCAGATCGGGGCTTTCGGGCCACTCGATGCCATGTGCGTCTGAGGCGGCGGGGAGTCCGGTATTGCTTCTGCCGGCCCGCCTGGTTGGGGCCAGAGGAAGCCAAAACAGCCCAGAAGGGCTTGTGCCAGAGATGCTGGATACTCGGCTGTTTGCGAGCTAATGAAATTGCCTGCTTGGTCCCTCTTGCCTCTGATTGACGCGTGCTGGAAGGTGTGCCTGCATGAGGACTGTAAGGGCTGTATGTGCGGGCTGTTGGAGGCAAAAGCCCAAGCTTTGGACCACATGCATCCGTGTGTGCAGGCATCGACGTGCACGACATGGGCCGATGCTGACTGAAGCAGTTGTTGGCAGGAGGGCTCTAGCCAGGCCATGCTTGTGGGCGGGTTTTCCAAAACCCAGATGCCCCCCGATGCCGCAACAGCGCGGCAAAGCTCATGGCACCTCAGGTGTATGGTTTTGCTTTCAAGGGCTCGATGCTGGAGTTTGGGCGAGTTGGACGGTAGGCCGTCCATGTGCTCTGGAGATCGGCAAGGGGGTGGGCCCCCGGGCGCCAGTTTGAGGATGGAGTAGTCGCGACACGGAGGTGCGGCCACCAGGAGGCCGATAGAACCCGACCAGTAGGCGGTGAAAGAAAGCATCCTGCAGGATGTCATGTTGGGCATTTATCGCAATGTCGATGGGCTCCCAGCGCGGTATGGATTGCAGGCTGGCGGCGGCTGAGATGGGCGTGGACTTTCCTGCGAATAGGTCCAGTAACTTGCGTGCCTGTGTGGGCGGATTGTCGTGAGGTCTGCTGCCCGCAGTTTGCGAGGTATCTGCAGGACGTTTCCAGGTAATGTTCGGAAAGAAGGCTGTGCGAGGTCTGGCCTCTGTCGTGCGGAGGCTGTCGGGCACTGCGAGAGCTGTGTGCTGGGTAGGCGGTATGCTGTGTGGCCTCAGGGACATGTCGGCTGCAGGCTTGGCAGGCGATTGGTCCTTGGCCTGAGGCAGCTGGGGGCTGGGAGCCCGAAGGGCCGAGGCTTCCGACGTGGGCGGGAGCTGCGGGTCCGGCATGGGGAGTGGTGGTCCCAGTTGTCGGGGACGGTCCGGGCCCGCCACTGGGGGTGCGAGGCCCGGACTGTTTCAGGTCCTGGGCTTGCCGTGCTCATTGGCGGGGTGCTTTTGGGCACACCCTCGAACTGCACACACGTGGGCGAACTTGCACTCCTTGAGTTGGCATTGGCCGTTTTGATAGCGGCGGCAAATGGTCTGTCCCTTGTGCACGGCAACCCAGTTGGACGGAAGATTTGTAATCTTCCCTTTCCCCTTCCCCTTCTTAGGCGGTCTCTCTGCTCCCTTGTCTACCTTGGGAGGCGGGGGGGGCGTGTTGGGCGATTTGCGCTTGTTGGGACTGTCGGCGTTCTTGCCTTGGCCCTTGGGCTGACCTTTGTCGGGCTGCATCTTTGGGCGTAGCTGCAGTAGGCTAGAGAGATCATTCCTGATGGAGGTGATCTCATGTAGGGCGTCATCAAGGCTCCATGATTGTGCGACCAGTTCCGACAGCGAGGCCCATATTTTCCTGTCGGCAGAGATGAGCTCGGCGGTTGTGGGCGTTCTTAGGCCTAGCTGTGCATCCGGTTGGTGCAGGCAAAGCTCCTTGACCTTTTTGTCAAGGGCCTTCAGGTTGTGCAGGTGTGCGGCCCCACAGAGGGCCCAGGCGTTGCGGAAGACAGTTTGGATCCTGTCTAGCCAGGCTGCCGCCAGGCGCATATGCTCTGGGGTTTCATCAAAGAAGGCAGAGGCAATGATTTGGGCTTCTGTGCGTAAGGGCTTGGCAGTCTTGGCTTCCTGTGCTCCTGGTATTGGCGGGCGGATAGGCGAAATTGCCAAGGGATCCAACGGATCTTCTCCCCGGGCTTTAGGCTGTGGTGCACAAGGCTGAGTAGGCGGATGCTGGGCATACTGTCTTGATCTAGCAGTTCGCCTGGGTAATTTGCCTTGAATTTGTCCACCATATCCTGGACTATGTCTTGGGTTAGGCGTGGTGGCAGGTGCTCCATCCACTGTGAAGGCTGCGAAGGCATGATGGGCGTAGGCAGTTGGGTTGTGTTTGGCGTGGGCACTTGGGCGTCCCCCCGCTGGACCAGCTTGTGGCAGTTGTCCAGGGCGCGTCGTAGGCGGGCGATCTCCACAGAGGAGTCTAGGCCTCCTGGGCCGAGTTCTTGTGTGACTGCCTCAGGCAGGGCGTGTATGAAGGGATTGAGGGCTTCCACACACGGGAAGGCCCAGGCAAAGTCCGACATGGACTGGTACCCGCCATCCGAGATGGCGCTGCACAGCGAGGCGTGTACCCGACACTCCTTGAGCAAGTCTCGGAAGGCGTCTGGGCAGTCCATGGCGTGGAAGAAAGAGGAGCGGGGGTACGCGGTGATCTCGAGAGAGTCTCAACGGCTGCGGTGTAGGCGTGCACCTGGGCGGGCAGGCAAGAGGGTTCGGGGGGGAAGGGGGTTGGCTCAACATGGATGCACTGCGGGCCGTTCCTGTTTTACTCTGAAGGCAGGCTCTGGAAGGCGTCCAGGGCAAGGCGGCAGGCTTTGTGGCGGCACATCCTGGCTGGGTCAGGCTCAGGCATTATGACCCCGGCGTCCCCCATGACTATCCCACAGGCGGTGCGCCAGTGAGTGTCTGAGATCGGATGGGCCAGATGTACTGCCCCCCAGTGTCCATTGGCGACGATTGCCGTGGCCGGGTCCAGGGGGGCTTTGGGGTGGCGAGGCTGTGGGGCTTTGTGTGGGCTGTCTTCCTCACTGGAGGAGTATGAGTCTTCGTCCAGGGTGGACTCATCGGAGGCATCTTTTGAGGCTGATTGTTCCCCGCTGGACCTGGAGGGTGAGGCGAGGAGGGCTCGTTGGCGTCGTCATCGATGGCGGTCTGGGTCTCAAACTCACGTGCGTACATGAATCTGGGAATGATGGGCAGCATGTGACTGATTGTCATCGATTTAGGCACAGGGCCCGGCGGCACCTGAAAACTGGGCTCAATGGTGGGGGCTTGTCCCCCGCGGGCTATTGGGCGAGTGGGCCTCCAGCCTGTGGAAACATTGTGGGCCACCGAGGCCTGTACCCATAGGCTGTCGATTGTGTCGTCCCTCCCGTACAACTCGGAGCTGACCTTGTAATGGCCCGCCTTCCGGCGCGGGTCGGCAGGCAGCCTGAGTTGCTTGGCTGGGCTAAGGAGCCCCACTTTGAGGCCGTGTAGGGTGAAGTTGAGTGCTTCCTGGGCGTCGAGGGCGCCTGGCGAGGCTTCTTCGTGGAGCTGCAGCGCAGAGCGCAGTGCTGGCAAAGCCTGGGTGTAGGACATGGGCGATTGGAATGCAACCCCGGCTTGAGATGGGTTGGCCCAATTCGGCAGGATGGGCAGCATGAAATCCGGTTCGGATGAAGAGCCCCAGAAACGTTCCGTTGCGAGCCAAGAGGCGTGTAGGCGTGTGAGGTAGGCTAGGCACCACGAGGTCGAAGGCCCTCTTCCTGATATGCCGGTCAGGGTTACTGCGAAAGGTTGTCCCGACCTGGAGGTTTTGGTCGTCCAACAAATTCCACGGAGGGCCTGCGTTGTCAGGCTGAGGCTGCTTAGGCGAATGCGTTGTAGGTCGCCGAATCGTAGGCATGCGTGGTAGGCCAAAAGGAAGGCTCCTAGCAGTAGGACCATTTGGGTACCGGTGGACGATTTGCAAACGAGGCGTTCCCATGACACGATGCATGCCATGGGAATGGGCAGGGCTTCTTTGCGATCTCTGGGCTTAGTGTCGATTCTGTAGGTTGAAATGAGTGGATTGCTGAGTAGCTCCAGCAGGTGTTGCACCTGAGCCATGCGCGATAGCCAAGACAGGGCTTTAAGGGTTGTCTTGGGCGAGATTTGGCACACGTCCCTGTCTTGGGCAAGGGAGGCGAAGGCGGCCTCGAGGTAGTCGGCGAGCTCCACCAGGGATAGCGTTGAAAAGGCTATGTTGTGTGCCTGCAGAAAGTCTAAGAATCTGGTGCATCTGGACAGGTAGGCCTCGAGGCTGGAGGCGGCGTAGGCTGAGATGGCTCGGACCCGAAGTCTTTCAGGCGTGAGAGATTGGGTCGTCTCAGTCCAGAGGGAGCTGGTGTTCAGCTTGTCCAGGAGGAGCAGCCAAATTCGGTTGCACTCTAGTTTGCGAGCATCTTCTTTGGCAAGCATCGTTTGAAGGCGAGGTGGCCCCAAACGTTGTTGGTGAACGATTGGCTCTTGGCGCTTCGATGGTGCTTCGATTTCCGGCGTAGAGGAGCTGGCGGGGTTAGGCGTTGCCGGTGGCTGAGCCGGTAGAGGCTTAGGCTTATTCAGGTAGGCACTAGCGGGAGCAGGCTTAGGGGGGGGCTTGGGGAGCCGTGGCATGCCAGCATGTCTGAAATTTCTTGGGGCATGTGGGAGGAGCTGGGCCTCCAAGCGTGTGAACAGTGTGTTTCGGAACGGGCCCCGAGCGTGGGGACTTGCACAGTGGCTGGGGCCAGGCGGACAGGGGCAGGAGTAGGGAGGCTGTGCTATGCGGTGCTTGCACCGGGCGTCTTCCACGCATTTCAGGCACCGGCTTGGGCAGCTGCTGGGACAAATTTGCGACTGAGATGGCGGCCCTTGTGCAGGGCTGAAAACCCGGAATGACCGATTCCGCCCCGAGCACCTCCCAGGAGGGAGAGGAGTCGGAGGCCGGCCCAGGCGTGCTGACTTGCTGCGGGGGGGCAAGCGTGCGATGAAGCCTCATTTTCTGGGGACCAGTCCTCGATGGGATCGGGTCCAGTGCTTGAGGGAGCTTGTTGTGGGTCCCAGTCCTCGATCGGGTCGAGGTCGGGCTCGATCTCGGAAAGGAGATCGATCGAGAGTCCCGGCAGGGAGGCTGGGGAGGGCGGGTTAGGGCTTAAATCCCCACTATTAGGTAGCCTGGGCTTCTTTCGACTAGGAGTGGGGCTCCAGTCGACACGTGGCTTGTGGCCCGGAAACATGTTCCTGGCGGTTTGAGTAAAATGGCTGCAGAGAGGGTGGCTCACAGAATGCTGATGATGGGCGCTCCTTGCATGTGGAGGCGTTACTGAAAGCGGCAATCCTGTGCAAGAAGCTGAACTAGGCACCTGCAGAGAAACAGGCAGGAGGCTTTTCTCGGTGTGTGAAGAGACAGGGCTTCGGCTGCGTCTCGAAGGGCTCGATGGTGGGCACCTGCATCAGGTAAGCATGGGAGCTAAACAAGGCCAACTAGTCGCATGTGTGAACATGGTTCTGCAGTTGGCATACCCTCCTTTTTTCCCTATTCGGGCCGGCGGCGGATGCAAAACAAGGCCCAATTCCTGGGTCGAGAATGGGCTAGGGCTGCCAGGCTTGGGCACGCTGGGCGGCAAGGCATAGGCGATGCCCTTCGTGGGCTCTGCGAAACTCCACGCAGCGGCTGCACAGGTGATCCAAATGCTCACTGTCGGTGTCCGACATAATCTGTGCACACACGAGGCCAAAGGGGCAGTGTGGGCGTGTTGAGCATGGGCGCATGCATCGTAGGCGGTCTCGATGGTCCACGTAGAAGACCTTGAGAAGGTGGGGCGCCAGATTGAAAGTATCTGGTAGGCACACACTGGGCATGATGAGGGTGCCTCGGTAGCGTCTATCGGCGTTGGGCGTAATCAGCAAGTGTGGGCAGGGCATGGACCTGGCACTGGTTGCCTTGGGCCGGAAGTCCCCTCCTGTGCGCTGTGGGTTCGGGAAGGGGTTGCGGAGGCCTCGATCCGAGGAGTCTTGCCCTAGGCCGAGTAGGTCCGTGAAGTCATCCTGGGTCTGGGCGTTCTGCGAGTCCGTCTGCTCTTGGGCAGTGGGAGGCGAGGTGTTGGCTTCCTGGGCTGGGGCCGACTGCGGCTGTGTAGGCGGTGGGCTGATAATGGAGAAAGGCACCACTGGGCCCACGACAAATTGCGGGGCCCAAATGTTGAACCCCAAGGAGCGCACTTCCTGGGCTCGGGGGTCTCCCTGGTCGGCATGGGCAACTAGGCTGGCGTAGTCGGCTTCTGTGATGTGCACCCGACCCCTCTGGTCCTTCCTGAGGATCCAGCCATCCGCTCCGAAGACGGAGCATTTGATCTTTTTGTGGGCTGGTTCTGGCTCCTGCGGCATAGGCGGCGGCGGGGCCTTGGTTCCCGGCGGCTGATGGGATTCTTGGGCCTGCTGAGGCGGGTGTGCAGGCGGTGGGCAGGAAGGAGGACCTTTGGGCTGGGCTGCCGTGGGCTCTTCCTCGAGAGTGAACCAGAAGGAGTCCCAGTCCACCGAGATGGCATTGGCTGGCGGGTCCTGCCCCCAAAAGTTGTGCCAGGTCCTGCCTTCGTAGACCATGGTCATGCGAGGGTTGGGCTTGGTTGGCGAGGCAGATGGGCGGGCTTCTGGCTCAGGCGCAGCCTTGCTGGTGGGCTCCGAGGGCAAGCTCTGCCCCGGGCTGGGCGGGGTACTCTTGGCAGGAGGGGCTGGCGGCGCCTGTGATTCTGCGGGCGCAGGTGCTTTGGGCTGCTTGGGTGGCCATGGGCTGACAATCTTGGGCATGGCAAGGCACACCCCCGAAACCTATGACCTCCTCGATTACAGGGCTGTCCGAGCTAATGGGCAAGGGCTTGTTGAGGGCCTCATCCTCTTGGATGTCGGCCCAGGCTGGGCGGGTCTCGGAGACCGAGGGCAGTGGGCCAGGCTGGGCAGATGGGCTTGTCTCGGCCTCTGTCGAGGGGAGCGTGTTGGCGATGTGCTTCACGAGCGCCTCAGGCACTTTGACTCCATCCTTCTTGAAAACTAGGCTGGGAATGACGCGGCCATCCCCATGGGCTCGGCGGATCTGGTCGGGCGACCAGGATAGGCTTTGGGCTGGGTCGATGAAGTCCCAATCTTTGCGTGTGAGGGCTTTCGCCTTTTGCCCGCGGCGGGTGGAGGCTGACTTCTTCAAATCGGCTAGCTCGTCTGCGAGCAAAGACGAGGCTGAGGCATCCGGGGCTGAATTGGGCGTCGAGTCCGATTCAGGCGATTGGGCTTGGGCTTGGCCAGTGACCACCGGTGGCGGGGCCTTGGTGGGCAGTGTCTGTCCCGGCTGGGCATTGCCTGAACCCGAGGCGGGTTGAGGCTGTGCCTCCTGGGCAGGGGCACTGGCTAGGAGGCGGTCGCGGGCTTCGGGGCTGAGCTGATTGAAGTAGGCCAGCAGCTTTCCCTGAATGTCGGCAGTGTCCATTCTGGGCGAGAGAATGGGCAAACACGGAATCTGGGGAGGCTTGAAGCTGTGAAAGCGGCGCTGAAAGCAGCAAGGTATGGCTCCAGAGATTGCATGGGCAGGCATGTCCGCGTGCAGAGGACAAGGCGTGTGCGGCAACAACACTCACGAACGACTGCAAGAGCACATCCGGCCTTGAAGTCGTGCGAGAGAGGCAGGCAGAAAGTGCGTATTGGCCTGACAGTGAAGAAGTGTGAACACCAACTGGTCAGCAACTCTCAGGGCGGTGTGCAACTAGTAGGCAGAATAAGGTGGCAACTGGCAACCTTGATGTACATGAAGTCGATGCCGAGCTCGAAGGCGTAGGTACTAGGCAAGGCAGCGTGCGGCTCACAGGGCATTGGCGTAAGTCGGGTGCGACATGGCGGCGTGAGTCCCGGTAGGCACGTGCAAAGGATGGGCAGAAAGGTGCTCACGCGAGGCACCGGCATGGGCTAGGCACCCACTGAGGCAGCGGTGCTTGTGCCCGATGAAAGGCCATGGTCGGAGTAATCATCCGAGTCAGGCATTGGCAGGCCTGCCAAATACCAGCGGGCATCGGCGGCAGACCACCAGTCAATGACGTGGAATGAGCGGCGGTCTTGTGGGCTAATGTGGGCCCAGAGGCAGGCCAGTATGTTGCTGAGGCCAAAGAGGTGTCTGGCCTGTACAACTATGGGCATGAGCGCCTGTGCGGGTAGACCATGTAGAGCGAACACGTGGGCATGGGCGCGTTGCAGTGCCGACATATGCAAGGCACACTGTCGGCGGCATGTGCGGTTTTGATAGCGGGAGCAGAAGCTCTGCATGGGCAAGGCGAAGAATTGGTGCTGTGCCGATCTGGGGCCAGCAGGCAGTATGGAGCCAGCATTAGACAGCAGGTGCTGTGGCGGCGGAGGCTTAGGCTTAGGCCAGGGTATGGGCGTGTTAGGGTCGGCAGGCGGGTTAGGGCTATTATTAGGCTGTGGCAGCGTTGGTGCTGTTGTAGGCGGTCTGACCTGGTGAGGCAGCCTGACCTGTGCAAGAGCGAAGCTGTGTGTGAAGGGCTCTTGCGCTGAGGACGCTGAGGCGTCTGGGCATGTGTCACTGCTGTCCTCGGTGCCACTCCAATCCTGGACATTCCAGGGGCAGGGCTTTTAGGCTGAGGGGGCATGGGCACGGCGTGACTCGACAAGGCTAGTCAAGGGGGTCCCGGGAAAATGCTAAGAGCCGATAACTGCGTGAAGTATCAGAACCACACGGGGGGCTGTGCAGCTTCTAGGCGAAGAAGGCGATCCTCTAGGTGTAGAAGCTCTCTACGCAACAGGGCATGGGGATTTGCCTCTTCCCACCTGTTCGCCGGGACCTGAAAGGTACGCAGGGCCTGAAGATGTGCATTGTAAGGCAGTATTGCAATACGCTTGAGGGTATTGATTTGGGAGGGCATGGGCCCCAAGGCTTCCCTAAGGCTTGACATCTGCGCTTCTGTGCGAATGCGATAGGCCAGAAAGTCGGCTGCGATGCTGTCGAGCTCATGCCTGAGGTCGGCGTAGGCCTGCTGGGCGAAGGTCAGGCTGGTGCGTATTTCCTGCAGTTGGGCAGAGACTGCGTGCAGCTCCAGGCTGCCTGCATCAGAGTGCGGCCCATTGCGTCTTGGCAGGCCAGGTGATTGTGCATATATACGAGCAGAGACCTTATGTGCACCAGGTCGTGAGGCTCGTTGGGCTTTGAAGGCATGAAGTCATTGGCTGTAGAAGGCATGTCGGAGGCTCCAAGAGGAGTGTCACGCTTAGCTTCAAAGGGGGGCCCAGCGGGACCCATAGGTGCATCACTTGCAGAAGCTGAGCTGAAAACTCCAAGAGGAGTAGATCTCGTAGCTCCAGGATGGGGCTCAGTGGGGCCCATATGTGCATCCATTGTAGTAGGCAAATCAGAGGCTCCAAGAGGAGTGTGCATCGCTGGTTCAGGCGTGCTGATCTGTGCAGAAGTGGGCGCTGTGCGTGTCCTGAAGCGAACCGGCGGGGTGGTATCCTCTGGGCCTGGCTCGTAGCCAGGGCAAGGCGCGGCGTAGTCATCTTGGGCAGGTTGTGCAAACAGGGCCAGTCTGTTCAAGTGCAAGTAGACCAAATCATCCCACTCGAGGACGTAGTCGTGGCGTCCGCTATCTGAAGAGCTGCGAACTTCTGTGCGGATGGGCATGCTCGCACGGTAGGCCATGGCTGGACGTGCAAGCTACAAAAACACCAGGATTACGAGGCCTGGAGGCTCTAGAAAGGACAAAGAGCGTAGAAGGCCTTGACCGAAAAGCAGAAGGCCCCACCTAGGGGTTAGGTCAAGGCCAGCTGAGAGCCGGAGATGCTCCAGCTGTGCAAGGCTTGTTTAGGCGTATGGCAAATTACGGTGCATGATTCACTCGTGGGAAAACACACGGGAACCAAAAACCCGAAGCGTTCCGTCCTGTGGCAGTGGGACAGGCGTTCGGACCATGAGCCGGTGGTCGCCGATCTGGATGTCTTTCTTCCCGAGACGCCAGATTCCCCGCAGCAACCCCCTCCCTGGCGCAAGCTCGTTACCCGCCTATCCCAAGATCTCCAACCTCTCGTGAGTGAAAGGGCAGAAGCTCACTCGGAGTCGTTTCGTTGGGTTGATTCGGAATTGGCTCGCCTCCGTCGTCTTTGGTCCACCCATCCCACGGCCCCTTGTGAAGGGATGGACGGTATCTTAGGCTCCCCTGCAGTCCCACTGCCGGAAGACTTTGCACAGCAGCTCATGTCTTGCCTCATGCAGTGCCTCCCTTCTCCCCCTCCCCCTGCAAACCATGGAGGGCCGGGCCTCCGCGGCCTGGCATGCATGCCTCCTGGAGTTGCGGCGCTTGCGCCACAACATTCAAGACTCACTTTCCTCATCTGCCTCCTCCTGGGAAGCCTCTCACTTCTCCTCGGCGCAGCAGCTTTGGTCAAAAGCAGCTACTATGGAGTCCTACCTTCAGCGGCGAGGTGTACAGCCACAAACTCCTTCGGAGCCATGGGACTCCTTTGAAGCGGACCCTGTAGGCTGGGCTGGGCACTCTCCTTGGGATTCCAGGCCGAATCCATCCAGTCGGCCATGCCATTCCATGCTCAGCGTGAGGCGTCAGATTCGAGTCTGGAGTGCCCGCTATCCTGGCCTCGTCCCCCATCACCAGCCCCCCCAAGTCGTTGCGGCCAAGCGTCAATCCCTAACTTCCTCTAAGGTATTCACCTCCCTCAGGCAGCAGCGCTTGCAGCTTCTGCGCAGTGGGGACGCCAAAAACTGGGCCAAACGCATGCGCCCCCCGGTCCCGCCCCAACCCAGGTCCTCTCCGGCATGGGTCACGTCCAATGCAGGCGTCCGCCGACGCTCCTCCTCCCAAGCAGATGTCCTGGAAGGGGCTTTACAGGACTGGAAGCGGCTTCTTCAAGAGCCTTCCCTGCCCTGGACGCACGAGGCAGTCCTGTCCTTCTTCACTTCGGGTCCCTGCGTACGGGGGGCCGTGCACTTCCAGGCCATAGCACGTGCTCCTCCCAACAGTGATCTTTCTCGAGTTGGTCATGCCATGCTTCACCCTGGGCCATTTAGGCTCCTGTCATATGCTGCCCAGGATGTTCGCTTCATCAGCCCTTCCCAGGCTCGTGTCAAGGACTGGATCCTTTTCCGTTCCGAGTTTGCGTTACGGCCGGAGCCTTGTCCCGGACACCGCTTACACTGCTCCGAAGCCTGCTTGGAAGCTGAATATGGAGTTATTCCCGCACTTGTGACATGTCTGCCTACCGGTTAAGGGTCAGGTAAGCAGTTCTCTTGGGTTTGCTTCCAGGATTCAGGTGTTGTCGGTGTGCATGTCAAAAGTCATCAGTCTTATTCCAGCGCGCCCTTCTCCCTCTCAACCAGAGGTAACGAGACCAGGACGCCGAGTGCCAAAACCTTCTTCTCCTCTCCGCCATCCGGACATCCGCCCCTGCGCAGCAGCGGGCCTTTTTGGCTTGGATCACTGGGAGGCTGTATGGTGACTTCGCCGCCTTAAGGCTCTCTCTTGTATCTGTGTTTCAAAACTGGCCTCTGTTGTGGCGTGGCCTCTGGCTGTTTGGTTGTGGGGGCAAGTCCTTCCTCCCTGATTTGGCGGGAACTCGCTCGAAAAGGCGGTTCTGAGGGCTTAGGGCTGGCTTTTAGAAGGGTCAAAAGTGCCCGTAAAATGCGCGTAAAATCTTTTGGGTTATGGTGTAACCTGGCGGGGTCGGAGTTTCTTCGAGTGATTGGGTCGAGTCCGCCTGATTTAGGGCAGAGACTGTGGTTCTATGTGCAGAGACTCGAGTCTGGGAACCGGGAACCCCAGGGATGTCAATTCTTCGCAATTTTCATTTGAGCAACGCTTGAAAGCAGTGGGAGTGTATGCTGCAATGGCCCACATGTGACCTGCATGTGGCTCGACTTTGTGGAACCGGCGTGCGTCGAAGGACACTGGATTGTCGTGCATGTCCAGCCAGGATCCGCGAAGCTGATGAATTTTGTTTTTCATCACAACTTCGTCCAGTGACGTGCCTTGTTCATCTTCAATCCAGACCTTGCCTCCAGCAAAGCTGCCCAGTGCGATCGCATAATTTGGCATGCCAATCATGTTCCCCATGTCGCGGTGGAGTCCTATGTGAGGGTTCAGAATCACTGCGAGGGAAGTCCATTTTCCATTTGGAAAGCGATCTCGCAAGAAATGATTGACTGCGACACATGCTTCTTTCATGGCGGATGCTTTCGACATGCAAGGGGCGTTCCCTCCAAAAGCATACAGTCCTAGGGTGCAGTAAATGTCATATGATCCCGAGCCAATGCCTCGTTGGCGTCCGCGATGCTTCCATTGTGGTGACCAACAATCCAGCAGGTCAACCAGATTCTGCTCAGAAGGATTTTGCATGACAGCTTCACAGGCAGCTGACAGCCCAGAGCTCATTTATCATGCATGAAAAGAATCATGGCGGGGCAGCAGGCCCTGGATTG